ACTTTTAATTGTTTGCCACATACACGTATGTGTCTATAGTATTTGATTGTTTAGCTTGGGCCCCTAAATATAAATTTTTTGTAATTGCTAAATGAATACAGGTCCACGCGTCTTTATAGCCTTAACTTTTAGATAGTCCACTTTATGGTTGGTTATTGTGATATCTGAACATTTTTTAGACACACTAATACCATAAGGTGTAGTCTGTATTGCATGTCTCTTGGTGTCAAAAACAGATATGGGATAGAAATGTTAATGTATTCTCTTCTTCTTTTCTAATGTTCAATGATTATTGTACAATAGCCTCATACACCCAGATATTAAAGGAATGATACAGTATAAATAGAATGGAAATATCATCTCATGGTATATATCATATCACTCAACAAGTGAACACAACAAGTTTTTCTTTTGAGTGAATGTTAAAAACGTGTCAATAAGGTGTCTTCTATGTAATCAGAAGTAGGATTGCACAGTCTGTTATTTATCTTTGGCTCAATAATGTAATCAGGTGTAATGCATGGAGTTTATGTCTGGGCTGCAAGGGCTGTTGCAAAGTTGTTCTTCAGATCCCTTTTGACTGTCACACTTCAATTTCAAAGATGTATTTGGTATAATGGATTGATGAAATTATATCGTGTACTAATTACTACTACAGTTGTTATTGAAAGCACCATCTGTCTGTTTGCCTTCATTTATCAGCCTTCTAACAATGAGTTATTGAACACATCCACATGTGCGATCTAATGATCTTTCGCCGTGATGCTGACACGATGACTGCCCTCCATTCAACCCTGTCGCTGTGATCTGGGATGTTTGTTACCAAAGGCTTGAAAAAACAAATTTTTAAAATGAAAATTGCGCACTACCTTTTGTTTGGGATTGAGGGGAGGTGTCCGGTCCAAGTGAATGTAAAAAAAGTTAAGAAAATAATTATGAGCACTCAAAGGGAAATGCATGTGTTTGCACAGCATGAAAGCTCAGAGAAGAGGAAGGGTGACAGGTAGAATTTGTCAAAATGTGTTCCTTCTTCTCCCTTTGAAACCTTGGGAAAACAATAACAGGGAAACGCTGAGGAAAAGGTCAAGTGTGAGCCGCGTACGGACTGAATTGGTTCAAATTACTGCAAAATCAAGTCATACATTTGCAGTAATAGTAAACAAGACTTTTCCCCTCCCTTTAAGGTGCTAAAATGCAAATATATATTATTAAACATGCAGAGCAGATTGATGTGCTGAAGCTGAAATGATGGAGACAAAAAAAATGCACACTCCTCATCCTCTTCCTATCCAGGGACACAACATCCAATACAAAGTAGAGATGAGGTGACATCATCACTTTGCAGATGATGCAGATGCCTTTTGTTACAGGTGGTGGGGTGGTATCCGGTTGAAGTGTATTGAAATGGAAAGAAAATAATCATAATGGTAGAGGAGGAAGAACGCCTGCATTCATACAGCAGCAGCAGCGAGACGACATCGTCGGAAAAAAATGACACATTATGGGACTGTTTGTTTATGTTTGGTTTTAACATGCAAATCCTTTGAAAGCCCAAATGAAAACAATAACAGACATTTTACGGGAACAAAGACTTGGGCAAATGTTCTGAAGGATGGTATTGTACACTAAATCAAACGCTCAGGATGCCAGTCACAAGGAGTCCAAGTTTTGTCCTGTATGGACAAAGCACTTTGTGTGCAAAGTGAATAAATCTCCATAAGCCGTCATGTTAAAATTCGTTCAGCCCGCCTCAGCTCCTCCCACACTCCACATCTTTTCCCATTTCGGAATTAGCTGGGAGCCAGCGGAGTCGGGACTGTCAAGATGGCAATGGCCGACCACACTGAGCTTCACAACAGCTCTTCAAACGCCTGTGTGACGTTACAGAGACTATGTCCACATTTTATACAGTCTATGAGTGAGGTGAGACTGACCCAAAACAGTAAAGTTGTGGGCTATAAAATAAATAAAATGGGTGATAATTATCTTCAAGTTTGCAATTACACTTTGTCATTACCCCTAATGCCCGGAAGCTCTGCTCACTGCAGGCTGGTACTTGTTGACCTCCCGTGCACCTGACAGCACCTCTACTGAAACCATGGCCTAATTTTCACTTGAGTCAACTGGCAGCTCAAATTCTCCTTTTCACAATGAGAGCCCAGGAATCAGTCTGTGCCCTCATGCACGTAGGCTCCCCTGCAATGTTATTCTCACGAGCCAGTGTCCATCACCAGCTTTTGTGTCGCTAATACTCTTCTCAGAACAAGCCTGCAGTGGTTTCTCACAGTTTTCTTTCAGTCACTTTTCAATGAATCCTCTGTATCTATTTGCTGTAAAAAAAAAAAAAAAAAGGTGAGCTACACCCAATTAAATCTGAGGTATTATGATACAGGTTGGTTTTCTTTGGGGTGTGTGCTTGAATGTTTTTTCTTGTGCCTTAAACATGATTGGCAACTCTTCCTTGAGGTGCCGCAAGTGACTCTCCCATAGAGCAAACCAATGACACGTCATCATTAATTGCTTTGTTGTGCTTGCCAACTTTTTTATTTATGAAAAAACAGTCCTTTTGTTCGTTTACACTTTTTTCATTTAACCTCGGTGAAAAAACTTGGCTGAGAGAAAAAAATGTGCACAGATCACCTGAGGACAGTTAAATTTCCTCCTCTGTCTATACTTGTCAGTATCAATGGATGTGGTTGGTTTAAACTACAAAGGGTTGGATGAGTTATGATATTAAGTACTGATGGAATAATACAGGCATGCAGGGCTTTCATAAAAAAATCATTACAATGTGCCAAGTATATAACATTTTAGGAATGCAGGATAATTATAGGGGCAGATAAATTATGTATGTAAAATTACCGGTTATGTTATTGGCATTAGAAATGAGAAGCAAACCCATGTTGTGCAACCATAGAACATTAATTAATTAAAAAGAAATAGTCTGACATTATGGGGAATATGCGTATTCCTTTACTTGCAGATAGTTATTTCTATACAGTTTATATGAAGCTAAAGCAAGGTAGCCAGCCTGTTTAGCTTAGCATGCTGGAAACTGCCAGCCTGGCTCTTTCTTAAAGTAACAAAATCCACCTAACAGAACCTCTATTGAAGTTATTTGTTACGTCTTGTTTTTTTATAGTCTGTACAAAAACCAGATCGTAAAAATGACATGTTCTTAGTGCTAATTGTTTTCTAGGCCAGGGGCAGAAGTAGTTCACAGTAAAACTACACCCATAAAACCACATATTGTTGTTTTTAAACTTTAAACAAACAAGATATAACATGGTAACCAGTGAGCTTAATTAGTGCTGTTACATTTTAACAGACCCAGGCTAGCTCTTTGTGCTAAGCTAATCTACAGCAGCTGGCTGAAGCCTCGTATTTAACATACACCGAACATGACATCTTAAACAAAAAGAAAGCACATAAACAAATTTCTTGAAATCTCAAACTATTCATTTTAAGATTGCAGTGACTAATGCATATTTGGAATATTACTATCTGTCTATCTATCATCAGCGACAAATGGACAGATTGTGGTTTATTCCTGATTCTCTTGATTTTGTACTTTTATCTTTGTATAATAATGGACCTTACTTCCCTATTTGACCACAAACCAGTTATTGAAAATGTACAAAGATAAGGAATTAAGTCTATGAGAGGAAATGCGACAACAGGATGTTTGTTACAGCATCCACCTGTTTGACACACTTTGCATCTTTGCTGGAGCTTTTCCGTAAACCGAACATGCAGACGTAATACGGACACTCCCAAGAGCCTGGGCTTGGGACTATCAAAAAAGCAGATTTGTTTCCTGTTCTGTACAACCTGGGTTGTGGTCACTGCACAACACAAGCATCAAAGGCCTTCTTTTATCATGGGGTCATAACAGTACATCACTGGTGGCTGTTGTTCCTGATGCTGCTGTTCACAGAACATGTGAGGTTAAAACCCAAGATGTCAGATTTGCCCTTAGTGGCCTGAGTTATTTAAATCAGCAATAAATATATGGATTACAGGATAAAGTTGTGAAGCTTGATGGGTCTAAAAAAATGTTTTAATAAAATTGTCACATGCAGGTGTAACCCAGTAGATAAATAGATACTATAAGTTTCGTTTTATTTTCATTCTTACTTTCTGTTTGCTAAAAAATGTGTCAGTCAAAGTAAGGTTGCTTAGCCTTGATTATTATTGGCTGTATTAGTCAATACAAGACATCTGATTGGAGAGGGGAATTAAGTCCCACCCCTCCAGGTTGACGTTAGTTATAAACTAGTTAAGCTGAAACAGAAAAGAATGTGGATCAATTAAATTAAGGCAACCTTGAGACGACACGTAGGAGAAATGGAAGAGGTGATTCTATGATCTGTCAAACCAAAGACATTTCTGTGTGGATTTGAACTGTGTTGAGTATTATATTTCTCAGGTGTTTTATGTTAATTTGTACCCTAAAACACTGTGAAACTATTTGTGTTCCAGAGTCCTGGTTTAGAAAGGATCTTTTGTTATTTTTTCGTTATACAACTTTCAATACATTCACATTTGAAGTTAAAGTACCCTGTGGCTCCAGTTGCTTATTGTGTCTGTCATTCTCTTTCAACTCCTCCTACAAACCTAGACACTGGTCCTAAATGTATTTGAGTATTCTGATAACTACACGTGGGTTACACAGGCATCATTTTGTCAGATATTTTTGGGGACTTCATTCAAGAATATAACAATGTTTTTTGCCATCAAAGGAGATTAGAAAGAATTTAACAATACATTTTCAAATATTAAAATAAATAATATATCTACATATCCAGACATAAATGTTACTATTAATACACATTGTTGCTTTATAGACAGAAATATGTGTATAATATGCAAATATCTTGATAAAAGGTGCACCAGAACAAGAGCTGTACACAACACTGACATTTAACTTTTAGAAGTTAGCAAACAGTTGCCTGTTTACTTATTGGGCAGTTCACTAACAAAGACCACGCCAATAGCTGTATGGATTAAGACAAGTTTATTACACGTTTATGAATGAATGTGGAATGCTGTGGGAGGAAAAATGGTTAACGGGTAGAAGGGATGAAGGGATGAAGGGGTAAGGGTCGAGGGATGAGGGGAAGGGGTCGAGGGATGAGGGATGAGGGGGTATGGGAAGGACGAGTGAGGGTTGATAGAAAGGGAGGAAAGACTGGTTAGGTGGATTGATGGGAGAAGTTCGGTGAACTGGTCGGATGGAACGGAGAGGGTGCTGAGACGCTGAGTGGGGGAGCCGTCTCTTTGACTCTTCAAGAGCCCCCGTGGTTCCTGTATTTTTATAAGAGAGGGAGATAAATTAAAAAACAAGAGGGTACGGGGGGGGAGGGATGTAGAATACGAGTCAAGGAGGGAATGAACGGAAAAGGTGTGCTTAAGTATGTTTTGAGCGGAAATGAGGAGAGTTCGGGGCGTGGTCTTTGTTCCCGAACTTAGTTATGAAACTCCATACATGGAGCAACACTGGCCCTCATTTGGAGTCATATGTCTACCTGATAAATGAAGTCCAAAATGTACTCTCCCTTTAGCTATCTTTTGGCCCCGATGGAAATATCTGACTTTTTAGTTGCTAAATGCTCCACTGTGTTCACCAGCTATAGTTGCTAACAGTTATCCAGCAGCGTCCAGTCGGTTTTTTAGAGCTTTTCCCCTGAAAACACCTTCGTGCTGCATTTGAAAATGACACTGAAGAGAGCAGTGAGAGTGGTTAAGCGGTTCACTTAACCAAAACAATTAACTGAGAGCCGCAGAAACTGTCCGTGTAGCTGAAGGAAACTGTATTGCCAATTCTCTTTGGGTTCATCACAAAGAGCGAGCCCCTTCACGTACAAGTTGTCATTTGATCCATTGTCACAAAAAAATATTGATTATAGCAGCTTTAAATCATGCCACAACATATCATATGGGGTTTACTATGATTTGCTTTAAAGCCTTTGTCACAGATGTAGGGCTTCCAGTATGGCTGTATGGAAGCCTTGTAACGAAGCAGTGACCTTCCTGTGGACCTTGATTTCTGTCACTAGTGAAGAGTTACGGACTTGGCCCCTTGATTAAAGGTTTTCCCTTGGCTCATCACTAACATGACTGGTAGGCCAAGGCTGTGGTCTGAACTGTCATTCGGATTGTAATTGGACAGGATCTCATGGCAGTCCTTCCACTGCTGGCTGTTAAAATAGTGAGAGATGTCCACGCTCTGAATGGGGTTGTACAGGGTGATCATTTCTCTCTGGGGCATAGCTTACAAAACTATGGAAACAGCAAATCCAAAGAAATGCACTCTGGGACAAAGGGAATAAACCAAAGAGGACCTCTTTCAGCCATGCTAACTGCATGGCTCTGTGGATGGCAATGTGAGTTGGCTAGGTCACTGTGAAACTGGACCTGCTACAGGACAATGCCAACAAGTCTAAAATTGGGACATCTGTTTGGTTAATCTCTGTTGTATCAGTAGGAATCGATAGCCTTGACTGTATGTTTAAATATTCAATATGTCACTGTTAAAGAGATAAACCTATCCACTGTGTTGTCACATACCTCTTAGGCAACACAATAGTCTATATCTACAGTCAACCGAGTTTAGGGCTTTCTACTGGATTAACCTTTACAAAGTGCATTCCACTACAGCCTCTGTAGGGGAGTTAACATTCCCACACTGTCAAGGCAACCACGCTGATATTATGCAGGTACAAAATTACCATATTAAACATCATAGTTTAGAATATTAGCATGCATACATTTGCTAATTAACATTAAACACTGAGGCTGATAGGAATGTCATGAGTATTGCAGATATTTAGTCGTAAACCAAAGTATTGGAAGATTTGACTTGGGGGGGGCATTTCATTTCTTTATTACCTGGCCATCAGCAGAGAAATGGGATGCTCTCAGAGCCTAGGGGCTAAGGCACCAACCATTAACTGCAACATCCCTGGTTTAACTACAGCCTCGACCACTCTGGTTGCATGTTGTTCTCCATCTCTCTCCCCTTATTTCTAGTCATTTCGGTAACATAGCTACACTTTATATTAATAGCACAATCTGAAAAAACAAAGACAAGTAAAACACAGGGCCAGATCATTGTACTGTGAGGCCCCTGGGCAAATGTGTTTTGGAGGCCCCTCCAACCGTGAAAATCTACTGTTGCAACCCTGGTATGCACCAAGGGGCCCAGGTGTTACGCTCATTGTATGCACCGAGTGGCTTAGGGTCCCTAGTGGTTAACTCACACTGGAAGGACTTCGTGTCCCCCTGGCAGTACATAACCCAGGCCTAAAAAGGGCAGATAGTGATGGGGAAACACATGCAGCAAAAGTCCCTGGTGAACAGCGATGTTGCGGTTCATAGTAAGGTCAGGCTCATGGTGGTGCAAGAAGAAAAGTCAGTGGATCACCAAAGTCAGTAGGCTTCATCCTTTAGGGACCATGACTGTCTGGGCAAAATTTAAATCCATCCAATAGTGGCTGAGATATTTCAGTCTGGATCAAAGTGGTGAACCAACTGACATTGCCATCCCTTGAGCCATGTCGCTAGCATGGCTCAAAAAGGTAATAATGAATTAACAGCTAGGGGCAAGATGAAAGAGAAACCCTGAACCCTGATATTAAAGGCTGTGTGAGTGACATTTCTACACAGGGAATGTTTTACAGGTGTTTTAAAATCCAGATTGAGGCCAGCTCCTGTTTTAGGTGCTGCTTTTTCTATGACAGCATGTTGGCATCCTCCACTGACACAGTAACTAACCAACCAATATGTAATGTCATCATAGGCAAAAACCAAAGAAAAGCCTCTTTAAAATTTAGTAACAATCGCCTCAGCAACGATTAAGTCTGAGCATTTAAAAGTGAAATGTTACTGTGCTATTCTTGTATCTTTTTAGTTTGTTCTTTTCCCTTTCTCTTTATATTCTATGTGAAGCACTTGGCAAAAATTAGTCGGCGAGCCGAAGTGTGTCTAATTACATTTGACAGGTTGCTGTGCTGATGATCACTGATAACCTTTTACCCACTGACCTCTGCCCCTGGCCTCAGCTGACAATGTTTATATGCTTTCACAGCTTTTACAATACAAATAATAAGAAAAGAGTTCTCCAAAAAAAGCTCTCTTTGATTTAATCCCATACTCTTCCCAGAAGCGCCACAATTGAACCTCTGTTGTGACCTTCTAAAGCTTTGGTGAGCAAATCTGAATCCCGCTCAACTGCTTATAACTGTGGCCCTGTTCCAAGAAGCCTTACCCAGCCATCTCAAAGCTCACAGTTAAAATTAATTTTACTTTTCTAAACTGACAACTCTTTAAACACAGAGTGCCAACAATGTTATTCCGCTTGTGGAAGCCGAGCTTGTTCAGAGAAGAAGGGAGGGTCTGCTTTGCTTGTTTGTGTTCATATTGTATTGTTCAACTAGGATTAACGCTAAATATGTTACGTAACTTAAGTGGAATTCAGACCCTCAAGAAAAACAATGTAAACCTATGTTCACTGAACTTGTGTTAGCAGCCTCAACGTTCACATTCAGCTTCTAACATTTTCATCATGTTAGTTTGTGTGAAAATGAATTGTTGAATTGTTTGTTGTTATAAAAATTCCAAGAGATTCCTTTCATACATAAACAACTGCTTTAGTTTTCACTCCAGTGCTGTCTTCATTAATCACATCTATAATTGAAATAATGGTCTCCTTTAGAAGGGACTAGTTAGAGCATAAACATAAACATCAACTACAAAGAAATTCTTGGATTTTTATGAATTGTGCCAAAGCCATGGTTTATGACATAAGATGGATAAAGCTGTACTTGGCAGAGTTACTGCTCTCTCCTTTTGTTGAAAACAAACGCCAAGTCTCCGCTCTGCAGTCACTGCATCGTCAGGTGATTGGCAAGTAGTAACAGAGACATTTTTAACACAAGGAGCGTTCAAATTCACATTACAGGTTAATAATGTTTTTTGACCTGTTAAAACATAATCAATTATCCTTTAAAGGAATAATGTTGAGTGCGAGCGGGTCAGTGAGGTTATTTGGCTGTATCCGGTTCAAATGACTCAAATTCAGTTGTTTCAACCCCCACAGCACACAGCAGCTACCAAGGAAAGTTCTTCTATTTGAGGAAGTGCTGCCCAGGGGGGGGGAACCACAGTGATACTGTTCATTATTTTATGTCCTCAGTTCACAAATACTGGGATGGTTTTGTGAAATAGTTTGGTGCAAATAAAACACTATTTATATTATTTATCAGATTTTTTTTTTTTTACAATCACACTTTTTCTTTGAGATTCTTTGTCTGGTATTTTACAGGAAAAAATATAACCACATAAATTACATAAAACATTATATACAGTTATAAACAGTATAATTGCAAACACATTGAATCAGATCGTCAGTGACTGTTATTGATATGATTTGTTTGTGATATGATTTGCAGATACAGATATGCAGACGCTCAACACGGCGAGACAACGGTGTTGCTTGCGGTGTGTTTTCTATGTTTTAGTCACACTGCAGGCAAATATTTTACAACGCAGATTTATTTCAGCACAACATGAAACCTGGCTTGTAACCTGATTGTAAGCCAGGTTACCTGTCTGAACAGATGTGGGGGGAATTTCGTCTTTCCTTTTCATTATCACATGACCTGCACATGGTTTTGAAGGCTAAAGGATGAACTAATTTGAAAAAGGTTGAATGTTTCAATCACACGACCATTTATAGGATCTAAATTTTGGACTGAAATTGGTTAATTTCAAAGGAATTGCTGTGATCGGGGATTCCATTATGGAAGAAAAGCCAATTCATGCAGAGTGAACTTTGATACATAAAGGTTTGCCGTTGACCAACTGAAAACTGTCCTGAGAGTGCCGAGGGAATGGAGATAACCAGAAGGTCCAAGATGAAGGAAGCCATCATGTTAGCTGTTTGCCACCAACCCTAAACCTGCTCTACTGTTGGCTGCTGATTTTGTCTCAAATAAAAGAAACCACACCTAAGTAGTCACTGCATAACTCACTACATATAGTCATCAGGACTTCATGCAACTTTCCAGTGTGGCCCTTGGTCAATGCTGATGTGTGACATGTTCATGAAGCCACTGATCAGCATGTTTCTGAAAAATCCAACCTGGAAAACACTTAGTTAAATGCAACGTGAAGCAGAAGACTACAATCTTGTAGAATACAGGACGAAATCACAGTATTCTAAAGGATCCAAGTATTTGACGAGAAAAGCTGAAGGATCTGTTTGAGGATCCATTGTTTGAAATGTTCCTGCATATCAGTTGCTGAAATCCAGCTTATAGTTAAAAGTGCAGAGGGAACTGATGAACATACTCACGTGGGAACACATGGGCATTGTTCCTGTATTTGTTTACTCCGAGTCCGCTAAGTTCTTATTTCACTAACACAAAGAAGATCTTTGTCCTCATGCATTCGTTAAGGTTTTTGAATAACTGTGTATGAGATCTCTCTCCACTGCCCCGTGCTGGTTAATGGTCCATATTAGAAACAATGAAGGAAGGATTCTACGCTGACACCTGTAAGGTAAAGAGACCAGGAAGTAGTATACTGTAGTTGTAAAGTCTTATTGCTTCAGTTCAAGAAACCTGTTTTAAAGTCAGTCACTAGTTACCAAGGTGGAACAGGAGATGCACAGATATACACACAATAGAAATGTTTACAGACATAATCTGTATCTGTGTTGGTATTTTTAAGACAGAAGAAATATTTCTATAAAACCAGAGGTTGTTGTTTATTTTCTCTTACTGTTGGGATGCTGAAACATTAAAGTCATTGTTATCCAATCACCTGTTACAGTTAAGAGGCATAACAACTACAGTGTAACAGGCACTGAACAACATTTTCTAGGAAAGGAGCTGACAAATTTACATTTTACCTTGATATTTATTTATTTTTGTAGAGGAAAGAGGGTTCCAGTACAAACAGGCTCCCCAAAGGGCATCAAAGGCCATCACCATTTTCCTAAAATGGGGGTTCTTCATTTCTTATGCATATATGCATATAAGCACTACTCTAGAGCTACCTGAGTCTTATGTATTTTCATCTGTTTGTCATTCCTGTCAGTTACAGTAAGTCCTCAGACAGATGGTTAACCTTTCATTGCACATACTGGAACGTTATGAAAGACTCTGTTATAAAAGGCTTTCAAACAACAACAGCAGGAAAGTAAAAGTTTCCTAACTCCATGGCAGTTTATGGCCATCGGCACATCGATGTATTCCCAAAGGTAAACATTTCATTTTAGGAGACAGGGCAGTGAACGTGGCAGTGATCCAGGGATTAATGCCACGTATTTGTTTATTTGGCAACTTCAAACAATACTGCACTGAAGCAAGAAAAACATATCTGGAAATACTGCAAAAGTTAAATTAAATTTATTTCTTCATCATTTGAGATGTATTACTTTTTAAATTTAGATATGAATCATCACAACAGTAGTAATACCTAAATGAAAGGTGTCAATCAATCATTTTAATAGAAGAACAAAATGTTTTGTGAAACAGGTTTTATGAGATACAAATTAGGTGACACATGAGGTGTGGTAAACATTCACGTTCAGAAGAGATAAATAAACCAACACTTCACCAAGGCAACGGAGAACAGAGTGGTGCAGTATGCCAAAGTGTGTGGTGACCTTTTAGAGAGCTGGCATGTCACTAAGGCTTTCTCAACCTCATTCATTTCCCTTCACCCATTGCCTGATAGGTTGTGAAACCGAAAGATAAAGCACAGTCGCTAACAAAAGATTATGTGTGGCAAAAAGTAAAAAAATAAAACCACATCATTGTGTGGCCTTAAACTAGGCCACTGGTCTTTTTCAATCATATCATTTCCATATTTTACCTGTTATCCTTATTCAGGATTTCTTTTCACTGGTGCTTCATCTTTTAATTCCTTCACCCTGTCATGTTTTCAGTCAGTCTAACGATGGAAATGTGATGGATCCTCCCTTTTAGAAAGTCACTGGTAGAACAAGTGCTTATTGTTTGGTCAACTCATTCCAACTAATCAGAAAGATTATGATATTAGATCAAAGTGCTGGTTAAATGCAAAGCAATTAATCACTTGAAGTACACAAAATATTCCAGTCTGTGAATAGCAGCACTTAAGAAGTTATACACAACTTTATTCTTAACAGAAAAGGCCGCAATGAAATAACAGAAAAATCTCAATTGCAACTTGTGCTGGCGGAAACAGAAGCAACACGAGTTAGAAATAAGATTTTTTATTGTTTCCATGTGTAATGCAGATTTACTAAATCATAAACATATTAGAGATAAAGATACATATAGTTAAGTACATAGAATAATCAGGAAACAAGTAAATCAACAAAAGAAAATCTGAAGAAACAAGTCAAATTACAGTAATTGTCATAAATTGTAAAAATGTCAAAGGTAAAAGCCAATATACGGTAAATGTGTTTACACTTTTAAAAGACACAAATGATGATACAGCATTACATTAATCAGTTTTCTGCAGATACATTTTAATTTAATCTAAAATGTAACCAAACATTGTGTCATTGTCGATAATAAGAGCGTGTTTCATGTTTTACTTATGAGCACATGTAATTTTTAAGGCTCATCATTGCTCTATGCCAGCATAGTACCAACCAGACCATGTGAAAGAGTTCATAGAACAAATGGCTTCAAGCATTACTGCAACTTTGGCACCATGGTCTCTGAGTACAACCCAAAACCCAACCAGAATGAACCGGCCGCTTCAAAAGCAGCCAAAATCCCAGCAGAAGGACTAAATGTCCATTCTTACTCCCTCCATCTCGCTTCATATATCTTTGCAAACTCACCTAAGTCCAACAAGGTCTTGATTCACTGTAACTGGCCCTGTCACTCTGCCCAGTGCCCCTGTAGAAGCTCAGTTGACCAGGCAGCAGGCAAGAGGCCAAACAAGGCTGTAACTCTCTCCTAAATCGCTGACACACTCCTTTCCTTTCTTTGCTGGGCCCACAAAGGCTGCACCCCTGGTGCCACAGGGCCCCTAAGTCCGTCCCAATTAAGACGCCCGTGAGGTGTGTGGAGGGGAGAGGGAGCTGGGGAGAGCTAAATGTGTCTAATCCCACAGTAATTAAACAGCCAGAAACAAAGGAGGGCAGTATGAAATATTAGCCTTAAATGTAAATTTCTAGTGGTAAACTTTCCCATGACCCTCTCACCATTGTTTGACTTGTCTGTAACTTACTTTGCCAAAGGTTATTGGTTAATGCATTTCAGTTTCTGTCCATTTGGGGAGCTAAGAGTTATTACAGTAGCTGTGTAAGTAAGTTAAAGAAAGGCGTTCATGCATTAAACAACCATTGATACTGGATTCATGTGCTCAGGTCAACACTATTACACACACAGCCAAGCCTTTGACCAAATGGTACCACACATGCATGAAGATACAGAAAACTTGCATGTGAAGACATATTTTACCTACATGATTCAAACCAATTATTACAGCAGTAGAATTTCCAAGGAGGGTCAAAGGTCACAGACTGCCTGGAAAACATCTCAGGTACAAGTAAAAGAGGAAAGGAAGATGTTTTTATAATCTCATATATGTGATGTAGACAGTAATAATTAGGGTTGAATTAACCCAGGGCTCAGCCCCGGCACATAGGTCTACTCTCTTTAATGCCATCAAGGGACGCCTCACTTCACACATCTTCATATATATTTTTAGACTTTTCTTAATATTTCAGACAATTTCTTCGTAGCTGTAGAGAACATTTAGTGAGTGAATTTAATGAGGTGAACTTGCAAACATCATACCTTTCACAGGGTTTCCTGTCAGTGGGTTTCCTTATAAGCTACCCAGCAGATCAGAGATCACATATAAGTCAGTCAGACAGCACAGATGGCAAAGTGATAGATGGATGGCAAGATAGAGAGAAAAATAGGTCAGGTTGGTTGAATGTAAATTGCTCAGTAAACAATGTTTGCATTTTACAAAATACTTTGTGGTAGGTAGCTATTCTGTTATATTAGGGTTGCTGGCAAGCTCTATAATTTAAGTTAAATTGTCAAGCAAGCTAGCATGTATTGAAATCTCTCAGCATTGTTAGGACAATCATGGTTTTGAGCAGAATATCAACTTACAGTATGGCTAGGTAATGCAGTTCAGTTTGACCATTTCCGAGCTATAGCATTAATTAATAAAAAGGAACTAGCTTGCAGTCTTGCAAACCACAGCTGATGTAATATTTGATCACTATAATGATACTTCTCCCAAACCAGCCCTACCAGCAGCATTTATGTGTTATCAAGGAGTTCAAACTTGCTCGATTACCTACATAAGAAAAGTGAATTGGGCAAATTATGATCTCAAACAGGGAGCCCACCTCCCGCTCTCGTCATCATTATGTCCAATTAGAGAAATGTCACTCTCATTGCCTCCAAAACCATGCAAAATAGAAAAACAGGCGTCACATGACATTAGCTGCTGCAGTGTTTGCTGAAATTCACTGGAGCATCACTGGGGTCTGCAGCCAGAGCCAAATGAGGTAAGAGGGGAATGGAGCCAATGGGAGGACATGCCAGTAAGTCTGCTGTCCTCCAATGAAGCCTTCTTTAGTTGAGAATTTCACTGGAATCAATTATTACTAGTGTCTACAGTGTCTAAGTATGACCCATGAGTGTATCATCACTTTAAAGGCAAGATAGTTTGACCATAAATGTCAGTACAACAGCTAAATATGTAGAATTTGCCAATGGAAGTTCTTCTAGGGTCATACATCAATCCTAATGTATCTGTCCACACAGAACTCACACTTGTAAAGCAAATTCTAGGGTCTTGCTGAGCTTGTTATTGTAATGTATAAACACCTTTTACAGGCTCCATAACAAAGGAGATGTTTAACTATTAGAAGATGGTTCCTTCCTGTAAAAGAGTCTCTGTCCTTCATGATTAGGCACAAATAAAAAGGTCTAACAAATAAAATCTATCACATCAAAGAGGTACAAATATTGAAACTGCAATAATGGAGATTTGCCTTTTTTCTCTCCAGACGTTTTTAATTATTACATCACTGTTTTTTTCTTTCACAAGTTATGCAAGAATATTGTGTGTTTATGATTTATTTTGTCATCAGGCGAGCAGGTGAAAGCCATGTAAATGTGAGCTCCAGGGAAACCTGAGGCTGGCGGTTGTTTTCAGGATGACTATGCATTATTAAAACATTAGAAGAAAGGAAGGACTGCTGACCACATTCAGGTCTACACTGGTTCAGCTGCACTCACTGGCATGTGACTATGACTAGTCACAAACTCGCTCTGTTTCTCCCTCTCGCTCTCTCTCCCCTTTTCTAATTCTCTCTATTCTACTTGTTTTTGCATTCTCTCCATGTCTCTCTCTACCTGTGGTTCTTTTTTGTCTCTTTCTCTTTCCTTCTTTGTGGCTGCACTCGTTCCCACCGGGACATTCAGGCTTGACAAAGTTGGTGTAGACAGAGTTAGTCAGTTTTAGTCATTACAGATACAGTGTGAAACCTTTTGGAGGGTCTATTGGTAGAAATGGAATATAA